AGCATCGAAGGGACGTGGCCGGGAGTTGTTGATGAGGTGGGTGTTCACCGAGGGACGGGCAAAGATCCTGTGTACTTAGGAATAGATACTGTATATCCTAATCTCACTAAAAATGCTGCCAACATTACCTTTGTAACATAAAGAGTAATATTGACTCCTTTAAACACCAATGTTGACAAAATTAATGACAAAATACCCTGGAAACCAGTATACATGCTATAGCTTTGACTCAGTGCTAGAAGATAACTTAAATCTATACCCAGCTGAATATCTTAATTCCCTAACACCTGAAGATCTTCCTCCACATGAACTCACTCTAAAAGTTGATGCCCCTATCATGCTACTTGGAAATTTAGATCCTATTAATGGACTTTGCAATGGGACATGACTTATCTGCTGGAAACTCTAGACAAGAATAATTGAAGCCAAAATAATAACAGAGGATCATCAAAAAAAGCATGTATTCATATCTAGAATTCCTCTCCTATCATCTGAAGATAGTGGATTACCTTTTGTATTACAAAGAAAACAATTTCCTGTGCGTCCAGCATTTGCATTGACCATAAATAAATCCCAGGGTCAAACACTACCTCATATTGGTCAATATCTTCCACAACCAGTATTTTCTCATGATCAGCTGTATGTAGCTATGTTTTCTGTCAGAAATGAATGATATAAGACAAGGACAGTGTTTATAAATGCAATATCATATATGAAGAAGCTTTAGTACTTAAAGTAAAGAAAGAAACATTTGCGGTTTTTAATTATCTCATAAACATATTATTGTAACTATTTAACTATGAAATTATTTAAATTGTTAATATTATTAATGAAAGTTTATAAATGTACTACAATTCAAGCCTAGAGTGTCAATTCCTAATTTTGTGATTATTGAATCACCTGCTTTATGTAGCTCTTCTCAGTGAATATTATATTCTTCTATTTTGATAATTAAATAGAGCATGAATTAGGTAAATAAGTAAATTGCAAATCATCTATCCATTTGAAATGTATTGATTATAAAATTACACAACAAAAAATTAAAATAAATGTACTACAAATGTTGTTTAAAACAAATTGTAAATCATGTCTAGGAGCCAAGCATGGACGTAAGGACATGCTTGGCTGCTGGTATTAATTTAATATTGATAATAAAAAACAAAAAATCTATAATATATTTTACAAATAAAAGTAACATTAAAAAGATACACGTCTATTTTATATGCTATTAAGTTTTAAAACTTCTTCTATTGATTTTTGTTTAACATTATTTGATAGTTTAAGTTGCAGGATTTCACCTATTTCATTACAAGTTTTCAATATTTCATCTAAATCTTGTTTAGTATGGGCAGCAGAGACACAAAATCTAGCTCTGGATGAAATCATTGGTGTGGCAGGATATGCAACAACAACTATAGCAATATTTCTTTTTAGACATTCTCTTGAGAAAGCAGGCATTTTGGCAGGATTGAATAGCAGCAATGGGATGATTGGTGAGTCAATATCACCAGAAATGATGAAACCCAATCTTCTCAAATTCACACTCAAATATCTAGCATTAAAGGCCAATCTTTCCAATCTCTCCTTGCCTTCATTAGTGCCATCTTCACCCATGATGATTGACAATGAAGTATAGACTTGTTGTAGTATCACTGGAGTTATTGATTCAGCATAAACTGATGCATGATTTTTTAATCGGAGACTATCAATAACCTCTTTTGATGATGCAATATATCCACCTCCAGCACCAAATGATTTTGTAAATGTTCCCATTAAAATGTCCACCTCATCAGGATTTATCCCATAATAATCACACACACCTCTGCCCCTTGGACCCAATGCTCCTATACTATGTGCCTCATCAATATACAAATAAAACTATATATCATAATGATAATATTATTATTATTATTATTATTATTAGATTATTTTTGATTTTCTTAAATAATAAATAATAATAATTGTAAATTATCCTTACTTTATATTTTCTTTTTAATTTGATGATTTTAGGTAGATTGCATACACTACCTTCCATGGAATAAAGACCTTCAACAACCAATAAAATTTTTTTCCAAGGTCGATGAGTCCTTGGTTGACCTTGACTAATACATTCTTTCAATAAATTTTCCAAATCCTCCATGTTATTATGTTTGAAAACTCTGACAAAGGCACCAGATAAACGACTACCAAACACAATTGAATTATGATTCAACTCGTCAGATATGATTAAACAACCTTTTGATACTAAAGCAGGCAAGGTGGTGCTATTGGTGGCATAACCCATTGATATGACCATAGCAGCAGATTTACCAACAAATCTGGCAACCAATGATTCTATTCGTAGATGAAGATCTGATGTACCAACTTCAATTCTGGGGCTACAAGATGAGATGCCATATTTTTTTATTGTTTTCTCAACAGCATCAGCACATGGGCCTTCATTCTGAACAAATCCTAAATAATTATAACTACTTAGATTTAAACAATCTCTGGTTTTACCAGTCAATTGAAAAGTTTTACAGTAATCTTTTGTTTCTCGTTCAAGCAATGTAATCTTTCTACCAGGTACACCAGTAACAGGGCGATTAAAGCAATCATTAATTCGTAATTTTAATCTCCGTACATAAAAATTATCAAAATCTGAATTCAAAGGTGCATATCCCTATAAATGCAATTTAATTGGGGTAAAGAAAATTTAAAATATAAATATTATATTGTAATAATAATTTTAATATACACACGCAACATACATTTCGTTCTTCCAAATGACAATAATCTTTCTTTTTAAACCTTTTTCCAAAGAAATCACGAATATGTCCAAAACAGATCAGTATTAAATATGATAAATAAGTAGTAAATAAGTAATAGTATGATGGTTCTTCTTCTTCCCAACCTGGGTCATTGTCGGATCTTTGTGATATATATCTTTGTTGCTTATTAATATTATTAACATTTAGAACATTTGTTGTTCGTTTTGTTATAATCGTTGTCATTATTGTATTCGAATTTTTTTTTATAATTATAAATTTAATACTTTTTTTATTAAAAATTGAAATAAAAATAATTATTATTTTTTATTATATCAAAGTTTCTTTTTCTTTGATTCTTTGTAAAAAAAAATTACAAAAAAATTTACATTAAATAATTTTTTAAAAAAAATTTTTTTATGGCACGTAAATTAATCGCCTATTACTATCTCACGTGCCTCATAGTAAACGGGCGGCTAAATATATTAATATGAATAATTTAAATTCGTATAACCAATTTTAATTAATCATAGATTATAAAAAAAATAAGAATGGCTCGTAGTAAAAGCGTTGCTGGTTATTATGGTTCTTGTTAAATCATTATTAGTTGGTGATTCGGGTAAATTAATAAATTCGTAAAAAATTATTATTCCTTAATATTAATATATTAATAAATAAATAAATAAATAAATAAATATATAAATATATATATATATATATACACGAAATAGGAAAAGTAGTCTCTTGATTCGTTTTTCATATGATTCTTTTACATCTTCATTCATTACTACAATCGGTCTCGGTTTTTAGTTAAAACAATTGAATTGGATGGAAAACGAAACAAGCTTCAAATTTGGTATACTTCTGGCCAAGAGCGTTTTCATACAGTCACCATCTAATGATTTTGGAGTTGGAATTATTTATTGAATATTTAAATTAATTAATTAACATTATTAGTTTATTACTTATTTGTTTATTTAGCTTATTACCTTGGAGCTATTGTAGTTAATGATGTATGACGAAATTTTTGACTTTAGTCGTTGATGTGACTAAAGTATTGACTAAAGTAGTTTTTCATCAAGGTTATTTTGGCGATTTGAGTAAAGTAAAAGCCCTTGACGTAATTAAAACCACTTGACGTACTAAAAACTCTTAATACGTGATACAAG